ACTCTTAGAAGAATTGCTTTTGGGCTGTTTCTCTAAGCCAAATTTACTGTCACTTGTGTGCAAACAACATAGTGCGCACAATGCACACTTAATCATGGAGGCTTACACCACTTTAATTCTTGGAATTTAGTTGGAGGCTTACTCGTCCCCCTTCATCAGCCAAATTCAAGAAGGTTATTAATATTGTCCTGCTCGTGCATATTCGGAAACCGAGAAAAGACAAAGGGAACAAGACTTTCAAAATGACTGTCACTTCGAAGCAGCTTGGGTCAGCCTCGCTTGAGTCTGCCACATTTACCCACAGATGGTATTTCCCACGCTTGAGGCGTGGAAGATAGCGTATTCTTGGACATCAATGGCTAACGAGCTTGGGAAAATGCTCCAAGATAAGTTCGCGAACGCGTCGAGTGGCCCAAGTGAGACGGCTCGAGGACGCGGGCGGCGGCCCAGGAGTTCCCAAAGCCTCGCCGCCTTTCCTTGCAGGGGTAGTTAACACCTCCAATGGCCTTCGCAACTTTTAGACGGCTCCGCCTACTTGCTCCGCCGCCAGCTAATCTTATTCCGAGTTGTGCTGGCTTGGAGAATAGTCCGAATGTGTTCTGTTAAATGAATGAATAATGACGAATGGAAGGTGGCAGATGAGAGGTTATGAAGTCTACTTGTGGGCATCGCTTTACTAAGATTTCCCTTTTTTGAATTCATATTCTGGTGCTTTTCATGATAATAAATGATAAGGAAGACTTTTTCCTGGGGAGATTTGTTAATACTTTTGCAATTGATTTTAACTAAATATCCACTGAAATTTGTAAATTTCCTGTTAGCATGCTAAAACAATTCTGACCTACTATATATGTCGATTCAGAAGTTCTCGCCTAAATCAAAGAAAATTCAATCACTTACTAAGATTTGAACCTAAGTTCATGGCTTCTTCAAGAAAAGAAGTGGGTTTTGCGCTTCGAGATAGTTCTCCCAATTCATTCTTTTGTTGGCACCTCAGAGAAAAAGTTTTCAAAGATAGCCCTGCAAATTTCGTATTGAGTCTGGTTGAAAATGCCAAAGTGATAGTATCAAAATGGCGATAGTTATCGTTAAGAAATCTTTGAAACGTTCATAGCAATGCTCCGTACGTTTGGCAAGCTTTAATCTATGGTGAAGCAGAAACAGAAATTATGAAAAACCTTTGCAGTGAAAATCAACATATCAACGCACTTTCTTCACAAAACATTTTCGAACCAAAAATATACCCACTGCCCTAGAGTACTGTAAGGTTTTTTGGGGGGGGGGGGGTTTCAAAGTGTCTTTGCTTGTAAAGGGCAATAAATAGAAGATTTGCCTCGCAAGATGACGATTTTTCATGAGTTTTCCTTGCATATCTATGCTCTTCCATCAGCCCGCAGCCTTCGAATGAGATTAGTGAAGAAGTGGATTAGGAGCGGGGTTTGACCTCTTTTGCGCGAAGGTGCGAGGAGCCTTCTGGAGTGTGAATGCTGGTGCGAATGGAGGTGCTAGGAACTCCTGCGTCCCTTCCGAGGACGCGAGGTCGCCGACCGTAACACTCAGATTGAAAGCCTCTGTAAGAACAAAGTTGAGGCTGATGGACCTGCCCAGCCACTTCATCAATAGCTGTTGAAAGATACATTCCTTGTTTAGAGTAATTGAGAGATCACTCAGAGACGAAAGCTCCCTATGTACTGTTGGATTAAGCCTCTTTGTTCAGTTGGTAGGCGCCGAAAAAGACTGAAGGCAAACGTAAAAGGAAAACAACAATAGAAAGTAGTACGAAGAGCATTTCTAAAGTAGGGCACTTTGAGTGCTCCACTTTGACAAAACTTATCACTTTCGGCTTAAATACCAACATTACATCGTACAGCTGCTATGCTTACACAGAAATTGTAGATATTTCAGTAATGAAGTGATTGCCATTCCTCCCAGCTGACAGCCGTAGGTACAGTGTTTTACTAACATTGTTAAAAAGTTCGTTACATTTTTGTACCGTTACAGCAAATAGACATTGTTGCAATGGGTAAAGTCCTTTTGGACATGTCGCCACAGCTGATCTTTTCGTACAGCTGTGGTGACATTAGAAACGATTATATTTTACCTAGGATCTCGCGCAACGCAACAAACTAAAGCATATAGATGTAATAACAATGAAGGACACTTGATTTGTTGAATAGTACTTCCTGTGCCCTCTCCGTCAGAAAGAGATCCTGGTATAACTTCATAGAGGTATCGTGCTGATGGAAGTGGTTCGAACTGCTTTTGAAAAGGTTATCCTCTTGCCTATGGATCGAATCCCAGCTATTCTTGTGATTTTTGGGTTGGGTTCCTAGGTAGTATCCTTTTTTTCAAAATGATAGCACCTGGACTGAATCAAACATGTTCTTCAAAGTGGGTCCACATACGACAACATATAGAATGGTAAGATAGGAAAAGAAGTTACACATCATGTGAAGGAATACCGTTATCTCATGTACTATTCTATCACCTACCTTTGTAGGGCTGCCTTCAACATGAGGGTAACCATACAATAGTAACAGAAAATCCTTGTTAAGAAAGTTGCAGGCAAGATCTACAACCGATTTCAACACTTCATCACTTGACTCAGATACCAATTTTAAGAGATGTGATCTCATTTGCTCAAATCTTGAACAAGCAGGAAATCTTTTATTGCGTATACTCAAGGAGAAAATAACGAATTGGGGAAGAACCTCACACAGTTTTGCTTGTTATTCTGAAACAACAAATAAGCAAAACATCCAACATCTTCTCCCACAAAGATTTCACTCAAAGTAATCGAATACGCATTTAGGGGCAAAGTCCTATTTTTCATACAATCTTTTTTCACATAGTTTTTTGAGAAAGTATTTACACCAGGTTTCCCAGCCAAATATTCGGCACCCTTCTAACAACAATGTTGAAGGGTCCAAGAATAATGATTGTGCTAGTCAGATTTAATCATTGTAACTCAATATGCCTACTAACATCTTATATATAAAGCTGAATGTCTGTTTGTCTGTATGTCTGTCTGTCTGTCTGTCTGTCTGTCTGTGTGTACGTATGTTCCGAATAGAAAATTCCATTTCTGAACCGATCCGGACCAAACTTGGCACACATACACTACGGGCCCCGGCGGGTGTCATAGGCTACTTTTCGTCATCGATCGATATCGATTTTATCGATTTTATCGATTTTTTTGCAAAGTTTGAGCTACGGGGCTGGGAGTTGGCACAGGGGGGTAATCGAGCATGGGGATTCCGAATACAATATTGGTTTTCAGGATTATCGATTACTTTTATCGATTTTATCGATTTTTTTGCAAAGTTTGAGCTACGGGGCTGGGAGTTCGCACAGGGGGGTAATCGAGCATGGGGATTCCGAATACAATATTGGTTTTCAGGATTATCGATTACTTTTATCGATTTTATCGATTTTTTGCAAAGTTTGAGCTAGGGGGCTGGGAGTTGGCACAGGGGGGTAATCGAGCATGCTGATCATCCCCAAGGGGGGTGATCAGCATGCTCGAACACCCCTGTGCCAAATTCCAGCCCCCTAGCTCAAATTTTCAAAAAATCGATAAAATCGATAAAAGTAATGGACGATCTTGAAAACTAATATTGTATTCGTAATCTGCATGCTCGATTACCCTCTGTGCAAACTCCCAGCCCCGCAGGTCAAACTTTGCAAAAAAATCGATAAAATCGATAAAAGTAATGGACGATCCTGAAAACTAATATTGTATTCGGAATCCCCATGCTCACTTCCCCCCTGTGCCAACTCCTAGCCCTGTAGGTGAACTCTGCCAAAAAATCGATAAAATCAATAAAAGTAATCGACTATCCTGAAAACTAATATTGTATTCGGAATCCCCATGCTCACTTCCCCCCCTGTGCCAACTCCTAGCCCTGTAGGTGAACTCTGCAAAAAAATCGATAA